AAAACCCTACAAGTGTGACCAGTGTGACTTTTCTGCAGCACATAAATCTCATTTAGACTATCATCTCACAAAACACACTGGTGAGAAACCCTACATGTGTGGGGAGTGTGGATACAGGACAGCTCAAAAGTCTGTCTTATCTAAACATATGAGAACCCATACAGGAGAAAAACCCTACAAGTGTGACCAGTGTGACTATTCTGCAGCACGGAAATCCACCTTAGATGATCATAAAGCAAAACACACCGGTGAGAAACCCTACATGTGTGGGGAATGTGGCTACAGGACAACTTTCAAGCCTTCTTTAGCCCAACATATGAGAGCCCATACAGGAGAAAAACACTACAAGTGTGACCATTGTCGAAGTCAGTCCTAACTCAACATATGAAATTTCACAAGGAAAGTCGAAATCTGCAACTGTGATTATCTACTACCTTTAGTTTGCTTGATCTTCTCTTGGTGATTTTGCTATACTGAAACCAACCATAAGGATATACCACATTGATACTAAAAAAATTTAGGCTAAATATTCTGTAAGAATTTATAAGACATGTATTAACAAACAGGTAATGAGTTTTCCAGGGGAAATGCCGAAGTCTTATACTTCTGTCCACTTTATTTCTAATTTATGTACAACTATAATGTACAGCAGGTACAATGATAATTCTCATTTCTTGGTTTTCTTTATTAGCCCATATATTCTGTTTTGTTATCAGTTCTTTTCACAAAAGAAATCATTTTTGTATCTATCATGAATTGTTGAAAAACATAAATCTTGATGGTATTGATTGGATAATATACATGTGCATAGTCAGTAATTAACATCGGTAAGTGATCGTACGCAGAATTTCAAAAGTAGAAGTTAGTTTGTATGAATGTGCTATCTTCGTGTTTCTATAATAGTTCGCTCTGACGGAGTATGTTCCCAAATGTACTACAAAAATAGCTTTTGACCAATATCAACTCTGTAAACTAGCGTTTGGTTGCGGTAAATCCTTTAAAGCCGATAGCATAGCAACTGTAGGAAGTAATTTTAGACTAGGGAAAAGCTATAGACGTTATGTTGTATATGGACAGAATTCTCTCTTCGAAGATTTAGCTACATATATTTACCACTAACACAATTAAATAGTTCAGTACATTGAACACAATGCCTTCTAGTGACCTTTTTTTTCTATGAATATAGAGATTGTCAATTGGTCACAAAACATAGAAATCTCGCCAAAAAGCAGTTACTCGAGCAACTGGATATGATTATGGTAACGGTCTGACAAAGAAATCACGATTCAGATCAAACAGGCGTAACTGTGATTTCTATATTCCTTCACATAATATTATACTAGACAAGAAAATCGGGCGCATGTTAAGTCGTTTGGTGGTCTACTTGTAAAAGTGTGTAAAACGTTTATATTGTGAGGAAACTAAAACGTAACGTGCCACCTGACGTCAAATGTACTACATGGTTAGTCAGGTACACAACTTTATCTTTGACCCACCTGGCGTTCACTTCTGACGTCACGAGACGACAGAAGAACAAAGCTGCCCGAGTTCCGGTTCACGCGAAGAGAAAAACCATCATAGGAAGCAGGTAAGGCTTAGAAACGGACAGCAAAGTATTCTGATGTTGGGTGGAATAGTTTAAGACCATTTCTATGGAAGAAGAACCGCAGTAGGATGATAATTTGTAGGCATTTTCGGGATGTGAATATCGTTGCATTGAACGGGGGAGGGGGGCCAAATCAAACATACGCCCGACCCTCGCCACTTACATTTACGTCGATTTGCATAAGGCAAAGTGGCCTTTTTAGAGTACTTGAAATTATATAGAAATGTTAATTGTATTGTAAAGAATCGCACAAGGCGTACATTACAAAATCTAGAAACGCGTAGAACTGATTTGTAAAAACAGTAAATAGAGAAGCCTGGTGACCAAACCTATAGGCTATACTGCCGACTTTCTTTCCAGCCTAGCAAATGGAGTCATTTTGTTTGTAGTCGTAAAAGTGATAAAAAATATAATTCAATGTTTTGAGCGAGTTCGGTGGTGTGAGTGAGTAATTGTAAGATCTCAAATTATGATTGGAACAACATAGAGGCAAATTTATTCAAATGCGAGAAAGACAACACGTCAGAATTATGTTGGGTTACGTTGTAATGCATCAGCATTTTAACTCTTAATCTGTATAATTTCTTACAATCTTTTGTCATTAGGCTGAACATGGCAATGGCAGGACAGGGGTCTCCCACCGGAGTTGGTCAGAACTGCTGTGATGGGTCTCCCACCGGGGTTTCCCAGGTCGACAGCAAAACAAGCAATGCTGAAGACCAGACGACAGCAAAAGCCAACTTGAATAACGCTGGTGAGAAACCCTACATGTGTGGGGAATGTGGGTACAGGGCGGCTTACAAGTCTACATTATCCCAACATATGAGAACTCATACAGGAGAAAAACCCCTACAAGTGTGACCAATGTGACTATTCTGCTACACAGAAATCCAGTTTGAACAGACATCTAGTTAAACACACCGGTGAGAAAACCCCTACATGTGTGGGGAGTGTGGATACAGGGCAGGTGACAGGTCCAACTTATCCAAGCATATGAGAACCCATGCAGGAGAAAAACCATACAAGTGTGACCAGTGTAACTATTCTGTAGCCTCCAGGGCTGCCCTATCCCGACATATTGGAATTCATTCGGATTTGACTACTGAACATCCTGGGAAGGAGGTGGGTTATCCTGGGAAGGATACGGGTTATCCTGGGAAGGAGATGGGTTATCCTGGGAAGGAGATAAGCTGTACCGAATACTCTGAGAAAGAGATGGCGTTTACTGAACACCCTGGGAAGGAGATGGCGTTTACTGAACACCATGGGAAGGAGATGGCGTTTACTGAACACCCTGGGAAGGAGATGAGACACCCTGGGAAGGAGATGGGCTGTACAGAATATCCTGGGAAAGAGATGGACTGTACTGAACACCCTGGGAAGGAGAGTGACAGCAGGGAGACCCAGACAACAGACATGGGCCCGCAGCAGGAAACGTGTGATGTGAACTTTCCCCGACCTGTCAACAAGTCAACCTCACAGGTACAGGAGAGCAAAGGTGATATGGGAAGGCACGTGGTTAAACACACTGGTGAGAAACCCTACATGTGTGGGAGGTGTGGGTACAGAACAGGTGACAGGTCCAGCTTATCCCTACATATGATAACCCATAGAGGAGAAAAACCCTACAAGTGTGACCAGTGTGACTATTCTGCAGCACTCAAATCCACTTTGGACAAACATCAAGCAAAACACACTGGTGAGAAACCCTACATGTGTGGGGAGTGTGGATACAGGGCCGCTAAAAAGTCTCACCTAAACCGACATATGAGAACCCATACAGGAGAAAAACCCTACAAGTGTGACCAGTGTGAATATTCTGCTGCACAGAAATCCTCTCTGGATAATCATATTATGAAACATGCTGGTGACAAACCCTACATATGGAGTGTGGATACAGGACAGTTAAGTCCAAATCATCCACACACGTGACAACGCATACAGGAGAAAATCCCTACAAATGAGACCGGTGTGACTATTCTGCTGCACAGAAATCCAGTTTGGACAAACACAATGTTGCACATGACTACCAATGTGAAAGTGTGGATACAGGACAGCTCAAAAGTCCAACAAGGCAAACTCCTCCCCACTGTTGGGAGCTAAATAACTCTTTGTGTTTCCGGAACAATAACTGTAGGTGCTGTGTCTATGTTGGAGAGGGCCACAGGAAAACCAATCATTCTTTTTATAAATAGACAAGACGTAGCATGAATGTCAGTTCATAGCTAGTGATTTTCTAAGTGTTTTGTAATTTGAATAGTGAATATGCCCCCTACAAAAATGTACACTGAGATGTTAAGAAATCTGTATATTGTCAAGGCATTGATTATGATTAAAAATGAGAAAAGAGGGACATCTCATTGTTAGTTTGCGATTTGTACTATTCTAAAGGGCTATGATACACCTGTAGACCTACAGCGCCTCCTTGCCGAATTATCCCGCATTGCAGCTGCAGATAAATGCTGTACACAAGTCTGATTATACACTACAGAAGTACAGAAATCTTGAAGGCAGTATCGAGATTTCCTGTCATTTCATTGAAGAGTCGATTTATATTCTCCTGTAATGTCTGCATGTTCCTACTTGTAAGGAAAGAAAGTAAAAGAAATGTGAAAATCTGGAAATACCAACTTGTTATGTTGATCGGCATTCCCTCTACAAATGTAGTGCATCTCAAGATATAAATAAAAGTCTTGTGCTCGTGGGAAAGGCACTTTACACGACTTTCCACACTAGACTCAAGTGAAAATGAGTATTGTCTGTCCAGTATTCGTTTCTATGTGCGGGACACAACACCAGCAACAGCTGCCTCTGTTCCGCGTGTATTGCATTGTTGCAATTTCAATAAAATAAAGAAAATAAATAAATAAATGAAAGTTCAATCCAAGGAAGATGGCTTTGAATATTCTTAGTGTCAAAAAAAATCTTCTTGTACTGGAGATATATTTGAATAATATTTATTCATTCCTGAGAGAAGCCTGTTGGAGACTACATCAAAGCCCTGAGAGAAGCCTGTTGGAGACTACATCAAAGCTCTGAGAGAAGCCTGTTGGAGACTACACCGGAGACCTGAGAGAAGCCTGTTGGAGAGACACCGACAAACTGTAAGAAGTCTGTTGTAGGCTACACGGAAGCCCTGAGGGAAGCCTGTTGGAGACTACACCGAAGAACTGTAAGAAGTCTGTTGTAGGCTACACGGAAGCCCTGAGAGAAGCCTGTTGGAGACTACACCGAAGAACTGTAAGAAGCCTTGTGGAAACTAGCCTGAGCATTTAGACGTGCTGGCAAACGTAAAATATATTATCTGGGTCATCAGGATAGTAAGTTGACTTTTGACCCAACTCATAATGACCCCTGACCTCACGAGACGAAAGAAGGACAAAGCTGCCCGAGTTCCGGTTTACGTGACGAGAAAAACCGTCATAGGAAGCAGGTAAGGCTTAGAGGCGAGCAACAAAGTATTCTGGCAAGCACATAATGAAATTGATCTCATTTTTGAGTAAGAAAACCCCCAGTAAGATCGTGATTTGTGCGCCTTTTCTGGATGTGAACATAGAAGAACTGAAGGGGAAGGGGGGCGAAAGCAAACATACAGTACCTGCGACCCTGGCCACTACCTAAGTTTTGATTTTGTCTCGTTTCAAACCAGTTTGTCTTCTCTTGGTGCTCCGTTATGGCAGACGAGCTTTCTGCTTTGGGTTGACGAGAAAAACTGCATCAGAGATTTTAGATTTCAGCCACTGTGCACCGGAGTGTACCATTTTTCATGGGGGGGGGGGTTACTTGCTGTTTGCCTGGCTATACCAACCAGCTAGAAGTGCAGGTGGTTTTTAAATAGAAGAATCTCAAAGTTCTAAATTATAATGGAAAACCCATACCATATCAAGTACTACTTAAGAAATACGGGAAGCTCTGCTCTGAATATACATACAATGGGCTGTTTTCTTTATTAGTTAGAGTGTGTCCAAGAAAAACTAGTAATACTTTCAATCACTTGCAAGTGTGCAGACCGCTCTTAAAAAACTATGAGTGGTGTAACGGAACAAAGATTAATAAGAAAGTGTATGACTTCTTTATGGAAACAAAGCCTTAAGATAGACCCAGAAAATACCATGTCTTATTGGAGGATGATTTTAATGCTGTTCTCCCCTGGAGACAAATATTTCAGTTACCTTACAAAATAACTATAGACTCCTCAAGCAGGATGTTCCAATTTAAACTCTTACATAAGTTTCTTGCCACCAACAGAATGCTGTATGTTGGGAATATCAAAAGTATTTCGAAATGTTCTCTGTGTGGGGAAGAGGAAGAGACAAGTAAGCATTTATTTTGGAACTGTCACGTTGTATTTTCATTCTGGAAAAAAGTTCAAGTCTGGTTTAATTCAACAACAGGACACTACTTAGATATTAACAACCCATTGAATGTATTGCTGGGAGACCTATCAAGTGAAACACCAGTCATTTGTAATGTTATTATTTTATTAGGTAAAATATATATTTATAAAAACCGGGAGTCACCTAATCTATCTATCCATGAATTTATTACCTTCGTTAAGTATGTACATAGACTAGAGAAAAATATTGCGACACTTAAGAACAAAATATCAAAGCACAACAAAAAATGGGAACCTTTTAACTTACCTTGTAAAAACTGATTGCCACTAAGTCTATTTGTATGTTTAGTGTTTGTATACCTCTTTGTCTTGTATGTGTTTTGTTTATTTGTTAAAAATTAAAAAAAAGTTCTAAATTATCATTATTATTTTTGTCTTCAGACCTTTCAAACATTTGTACCGACATGTAATGAGCTCTTTTGTAGTTTTACCCCCCCCCCTCCGGAATACTAGTACTTGACTGAAATGTATCCGTTTTTCCATGGGGGTTAAATCAGATCATACTAAGATTAGTCCTAAGGTTTTAATTATTAGAATATTAGAGCATAGAGCAGTACTTTGTCAGATGAACTTCATGTTACATGTATCAAATTGTAATTTGTTTGTCTGTGACAACTCCCCATAGAACTGAAATGCAAGAGTCCAGCTGTGAATATTCAACTGGAGAATTCTGTGTTGGACACCCTGGGAAGGAGATGGACTGTACTGAACACCCTGGGAAGGTGATGGACTGTACTGAACACCCTGGGAAGGAGATGGACTGTACTGAACACCCTGGGAAGGAGATGGGCTGTACTGAACACCCTGGGAAGGAGAGTGACAGCAGGGAGACCCAGACAACAGACATGGGCCCGCAGCAGGAAACGTGTGATGTGAACTTTCCCCGACCTGTCAACAAGTCAACCTCACAGGTACAGGAGAGCAAAGGTGATATGGGAAGGCACGTGGTTAAACACACCGGTGAGAAACCCTACATATGTGGGGAGTGTGGATACAGAACAGCTAAAAAGTCTCACCTATCTGATCATATGAGAACCCATACAGGAGAAAAACCCTACATGTGTGGGGAGTGTGGGTACAGGACAGCTGACAGGTCCAACTTAACCCGACACATGAGAACCCATACAGGAGAAAAACCCTACAGGTGTGACCAGTGTGACTATTCTGCAGCACTCAAAACTAGTTTAAACAAACATCTAGCAAAACACATAGAGAAACCCTACATGTGTGGGGAATGTGGATACAGGACAGATCACAAGTCTGACTTATCCAAACATATGAGAACCCATACAGGGGAAAAACCCTACAAGTGTGACCAATGTGACTATTCTGCTGCAAAGAAATCTACATTAAATGAGCATAAAGCAAGACACACTGGTGAGAAACCCCTACATGTGTGAGGAGTGTGGGTACAGGACAGCTCACAAGTCTGATTTATCCAAACATATAAGAACCCATACAGGAGAAAAACCCTACAATTGTGACCAATGTGACTATTCTGCAGCAGAGAAGTCGAGTTTAAACAAACATCAAGCAAAACACACCGGTGAGAAACCGTACATGTGTGGGGAGTGTGGGTACAGGACAGCTCACAGGTCTGACTTATCCCGACATATGAGAGCCCACACAGGAGAAAAACCCTACAAGTGTGACCAGTGTGACTATTCTGCAGCACAAAAATCCACATTGGACAAACATCTAGCAAAACACACTGGTGACAAACCCTACATGTGTGGGGAATGTGGATACAGGACAGCTCAAAAGTATGACTTATCTAAACATATGAGAACCCATACAGGAGAAAAACCTTACATGTGTGACCAGTGTGAATATTCCGCAGGAAGGAAATCCTCTTTGGACAATCATATTCTGAAACACACCCGTGAAAACTTGTGCATGTGTGGGGAGTGAGGGTACAGGGCAGCTGACAGGTCGTCCTTATTCCGACATATGAGAACCCATACAGGAGAAAAGCCCTACAAGTGTGACCAGTGTGACTAATCTGCAGCATGGAAATATGATTTAGACGATCATCTCGCACAAAACACACCGGTGAGAAACTCTACATGTGTGGGGAAAGTGCATACAGGACAGCTGTGAGGTACAACGTATCCCGACATATGAGAACCCATACAGGAGAAAAGCCCTACAAATGTGACCAGTGTGACTATTCTGCAGCATGGAAGTCTCATTTAGACGATCATCTCAGAAAACACATCGGTGAGAAACCCTACATATGTCGGGAGTGTGGGTACAGGACAGCTAGAAATTCTGACTCATCCAAACATATGAGAACCCATATAGGAGAAAACCTTACAAGTGTGACCAGTGTGACTATTCTGCTGCATGGAAATATGATCATCTCACAAAACACACCGGTGACAAACCCTACATGTGTGGGGAGTGTGGATACAGGGCCACTTACCGGTTTTCCTTAGCCCAACACATGAAAGGCCATACAGGAGAAAAAAACCCTACAAGTGTGACCAGTGTAGCTATTCTGCAGCCTGTAAGTCTGCCCTAACTCAACTAACTATAAAAATCCATACGAAGGCATTAAATTTGCAACTGTGACCATCTAGTTGTGACATTTAGTTCGCACAATCCGGTGTTAACTACAGTTTCTCTATATTACTGTATTACTACTTCCAGGAAGGTTTAAAATACAAACCTCCTTGCTTTTTCGAAAACAGTTAGGCTTAATATTGTTTTGAAAATTATAACACATGTACTGTATTTATAAATAGGCAAAGCTTTATCCAGAAGATGGGCTGTATTTCTAATTACTGTAAAACAATGGTTCAGTCAGAAGAATAATTTTTAGTAAAAAAACTATGTCGAGCCTACATGTAGTAGCCCATATACAAATGTTCTAGTATCGAAAGTTTTTTGAACAGGAAAAAACGTTTTATAGCCATATTTTACTTGATGATATTGATTGTACAATGCAGATATACATAGAGTAGGAATGACTATATGTAAGTAACTGTACACATTAGGAACACAAGGTAGGTAATGTTAGCGTTGCGTTTTAACGAAAGTACTATATTTTATTTCCTGTAGTTTACTTTGACGTAGTGTGTACATATATGTTATGCAAACAAATATCTTTTGACTAATATCAACGGTCTACACTATAATTTGGATTAAAAATACCAAAAAGTCGACAAATTTGCATCAAGTAAATGACTAACGTGCTTTAACTGCTTTAGTTTCCAACAGTAGGAAGTATTTTATAATTGTAAAAACGTAGGCGTTTTGTTGTATACGAGTAAAAGTTTGTTTAGAATTACTTTTTGAAGACGTATGTATAGAAATTTTCCGCTAGCACAATTAAATCGTTATGTACCTTGAACATGATGTTTCCTTCTGTGTTTCCTTTTTTCCTTGGAATTTTGTCAGAGATAGTGAGTTGATCATAAAACACAGAAATCATGATTCAGACCTAACAGTTTGGCTTGACATTCATTCCCTCAAATTATCTCTTTTAAAGTACCAAAAATGTAGATCAGAAACAAAAGTCAGACGCGTGTTACGTTGTAAGGTGGTCGGTTTGAACGCAGAATGCCATTATAACCCAACCGACGTCAAATGTACTACATGAGTAATCAGGCACACAACTTTACCTTTGACCCACCTGGCGTTCACCTCTGACCTCACGAGACGACGGAAGGACAAAGCTACCCGAGTTCCGGTTTACGCGAAGAAAAAAACCTTCATAGGAAGCAGGTAAGGCTTAGAAACGGACAGAAAAATATTGTAATGTTGAGGGGAATAGTTTAAGACCATTTCTGTGGACGAAGAACCGCAGTAGGATGATAATTTGTAGGCATTTTCGGGATGTGAATATCATTGAATTAAAGGGGGAGGGGGGCCAAATCAAACATACGTTCGACCCTCGCCACTTACATTTACGTCGATTTGCATCAGGCAAAGTTGCCTTTTTAGAGTACGTGAAATTATATAGAAATGTTAGTTGTATTGTAAAGAATCGCACAAGGCGTACATTACAAAATCTAGAAACGCGTAGAAATGATTTGTAAAAACAGTAAATAGAGAAGCCTGGTGACCAAACCTATAGGCTATACTGCCGACTCTCTCATTCCAGCCTAGCGAATAGAGTCAGTTGTCCCCATTGTTTGTAGTCGTAGAAGTTATAAATAATATGATATAAAATGTTTTAAGAGATTGGTGGTGTAAGTGAGTGATTGTAAGATCTCACAAATTATGATTTTGGAACAACATAGAACTATTAGAAGCAAATGTATTCAAATGCGAGAAAGACAACACGTCAGAATTATGTTGTGTTACGTTGTTATACATTAGGTTGATATTGTTAAGATTGGTGAAGTTAGAATTCTTTGAAGCTTGTTTTCTACCAATCCAATTTTATCATTAGTAACATTTAACGCTTAATCTGCATAATTTCTTTCATTAGGCTGAACATGGCAATGGCAGGATACGGGTCTCCCATCGGAGTTAGTCAGAACTGTTGTGATGGGTCTCCCACCGGGGTTTCCCAGGTCGACTGTGACAGCAAAACAAGCAATGCTTAATATCAGGCAGCAGCACAAGTTATCATGGATAACGCTGGTGAGAAACCCTACATGTGTGGGGAGTGTGGGTACAAGACATTTAAAAAGTCTAACTTATCCCAACACATGAGACCCCATACAGGAGAAAAACCCTACAAATGTGACCAGTGTGACTATTCTGCTGCACAGAAAGCTCATTTAGACCAACATCTAGCAAAACATACCGGTGAGAAACCCTACAAAGGCTACATTTGTGGGGAGTGTGGATACAGGACAACTGAAAAGACTACCTTAGTTCGACATATGAGAACCCATACAGGAGAAAAACCTTACAAGTGTGACCAGTGTGACTATTCTGCAGCACGGAAAAGTAGTTTGGACGTTCATCTATTAAAACACACTGGTGGGAAACCCTACATGTGTGGGGAGTGTGGGTACAGGACAGCCCAAAAGCATCACTTATCCCGACATATGAGAGCCCATACAGGAGAAAAACCCTACAAGTGTGACTACTGTGACTATTCTGCAGCAGAGAAATCTTATTTAGACTATCATCTCAACAACCACACTGCTAAGAAACCCTATATGTGTGAGGAATGTGGGTACAGAACAGCTGGCAGGTCCAACTTATCCAAGCATATGAGAATCCATACAGGAGAAAAACCCTACAAGTGTGATCAGTGTGACTATTCTGCAGCACAGAAGTCTACCTTAGATGATCATAAAGCAAAACACACCGGTGAGAAACCCTACATGTGTGGGGAGTGTGGGTACAGGACAGCTATGAGGTCCAGCTTATCCCGACACATGAGTGTCCATACAGGAGAAAAACCCTTCAAGTGTGACCAATGTGACTATTCTGCTTCACGTAAATCTACTTTGAAAGCACATCTAATGACCCACACTGGTGAGAAACCCTACATGTGTGAGGAGTGTGGGTACAGGGCAACTGACAGAAAAACATTATCCAAACATATGAGAACCCACATGGGAGAAAACCCTACATGTGTGGGGAGTGTGGGTACAGGACGGCTGAAAAGTCTTACTTATCCCAGCATATGAGAACCTATGCAGGAGAAAACCCCTACAGGTGTGACCAGTGCAGCTATTCTGCGGCCTCCAAGTCTATCCTATCTCGACATATAAAAATTCACACGGAGGCACCAACCTCGCAACTGTGACCATCTGGTATTTAGTGCTCTATATTCTTTCTCTAATTACAAGCTAAGAAAACATAACATGCAATGTTTAGAAAATGTACATTTCCATAGTTATAAATATTGGTAAGTGATTGTACACAGTAGTTCGACCTTCGGTTTCTTGTTAATAGTTAACTTTGACCAAGTGTGTTCCTTATATTGTAGAACAAATACCTTTGAATAATAAAAACTGTAAAGTAGCATTTTGTTCACAGTAATTTTTTTACAGTGATTTGCGTTAGGGTATAAATATAATGACTGATGTGCTTTACTTTCCAACAGAAGGAAGAAAAAGTTCCTGTTTGCTTTGTAATTTTTTTGTAAGATGTTTCTACAGATATTTTGTGCAAAAGCAATTAAATCGTTTTGTTCCTTGAACATAATGTTTCCTTCTGTGTTGGTTTTTTCCTTGGGTGGAATTTTGTAAGAGTTGTGAGTTGATCATAAAACACAGAAATCAAGATTCACACCGAACAGTTTTGGCTTGACATTCATTCCCTTAAAGTATCTCTTTCAAATTAGATCAGAAACAAAAGACGCTTTTTACGTTGTAAGGTGGTCGGTTTGAACGCAGAACGTTGACATTATGAACAAAGCTTAACATTCAAACCGACGCCAAATGTACTAAATGTGTAATCAGGTCAACAATTTCACCTTTGACCCATATCGAATTAACCTCTGACCTCACGAGACGAAGGAAGGACAAAGCTGCCCGAGTTCCCATGAAGAGAAAAACCATCATAGGAAGCAGGTAAGGCTTAGAAACGGACAGAAAAGTATTCTTATGTTGAGGGAAATAGTTAAAGACCATTTCTGTGGACGAAGAACCACAGTAGGATGATAATTTATAGACTTTTCGGGATGTGTATATCGTTGAATTAAAGGGGGAGGGGGGCGAAACCTAACATACGTTCGACCCCCTCCACTTACATGTATGTCACCTTGCATGAGGCAATGTGGCATTTTTTCAGGGCATGGAATAATATAGGAATGTAACTGGATTTTAAAAAATCGCATAAGGCGTACATTACAAAATCTAGAAACGCGTAGAGCTGATTTGTAAAAACAGTAAAAACCCTGGTGACCAAACCTATAGGCTATACTGCCGACTCTCATTCCAGCCTAGCGAATGGAGTCATTTTACCCACAGTTCGCAGTCTTAGAAGTAATAAATAATATGATATAAAATTTTTTGACCAAGCTCGGTGGTGTGAACGAGTGATTGTAAAATCTCACAAATTATGATTTTGGAACAACATAGAAGCAAATTTATTCAAGTGCGAGAAAGACAACACCTCAGAACCATGTTGGGTTAGGTTGTAATGCATTAGGTTAAAATTGTGAAGCTTGGTGAAGTTAGAATTCCTTGAATCTTGTTTTTTATAAATTCTATTTTATCATTGACAGCTTATACCGCTTAATCTGCATAATTTCGTCAATTTGTTTTTCATTAGGCTGAACATGGCAACGGCAGGACAAGGGTCTCCCACCGGAGTTGGTCAGAACTGCTGTGATGGGTCTCCCACCGAGGTTTCCCAGGTGGACTGTGACAGCAAAACAAGCGATGCTGAAGACCAGGCAGCAGAACAAGAAGTCAACTTGAATAACGCTGGTGAGAAACCCTACATGTGTGGGGAGTGTCGGTACAGGACAGCTGTGAGGTCTAACTTATCCAGGCATATGAGAACCCATACAGGAGAAAACCCCACAGGTGTGACCAGTGTGACTATTCTGCAGCAGATAAATCCAGTTTACACCATCATCTAGCAAAAGACACCGGTGAGAAACCCTACATGTGTGGGGAGTGTGGGTACAGACCAGCTTACAAGTCTCCAGACATATGAGAACACATGCAGGAGAAAAACCCTACAAATGTGACAAGTGTGACTATTCTGCAGCATTTAAACCAAGTGTGAACCAACATCGAGCAACACACACACAGGTGAAAAACCCTACTAAACAAGTGTGACAATTGTGACTATTCTACAGCATGGAAATCTCATTTAGACTATCATCTAACCAAGCACACTGGTGAGAAACCCTACATGTGTGGGAAGTGTGGGTACAGGGCAACCTTTAAGTGTGACCAGTGTAGCTATTCTGCAGCCTCTAAGTCTGCCCTAACTCAACATATAAAAATCCATACGGAGGACTGATTTCACAACTGTGACCATCTCGTAGTGACATTTAGTTCGCACAATCCCGTGTTAACTACAGGTTCTCTAAATTACTGTATTACTACTTCCAAAAAGGTTTAAAATACAAACCTCCTTGCTATTTCCAAAACAGTTATGCTAAATATTCTCATGAAAATTATAATACATGTACTGTATTTACAAATAGGCAAAGCTTTATTCACAGGATGGGCTGTATTTTTAATTACTGTAAAACAATGGTTCAGTCACAAGAATAATTTCAGTAAAAAAAGCTATGTCGAGCCTACATGTAGTAGCCCATATACAAATGTTCTAGTGTTTTTTTGAACAAGAAAAACTTTTTATTGCCATCTAGGATTGTACTGGAACAACAGTTAACTTGATGGTATTGATTGTACAATGCAGATGTACATAGAGTAGGAATGACTATATGTAAGTAATTGTACACATTAGTTAAAAGGTAGGTGGTACTGTTAGTGTTGCGTTTTAACAAAAGTACTATATTTTATTTCCTGTAGTTTACTTTGACGTAGTGTGTACCTATATGTTATGCAAACAAATATATTTTGACTAATATCAACGGTCTACACTAGGATTTGGATTAAAAATACCAAAAAGCCGACAAATTTGCATCAGGTAAATGACTAACGTGTTTTTAACTGCTTTAGTTTCCAACAGTAGGAAGTATTTTATAATTGTAAAAACGTAGGCGTTATGTTGTATACGAGTAAAAGTTTGTTTTGAATTACTTTTTGAAGATGTATCTATAGAAATTTTCCGCTAACACAAATCGTTATGTACCTTTCAAGAACATGAAGTTTCCTTCTGTGTTGCTTTCTTCCTTGGATGGAATATTGTCAGAGGTGGTGAGTTGATCATAAAACACAGAAATCAAGATTCAGACCAAACAGTTTGGCTTGACATTCATTCCCTTAAAATTTCTCTTTTAAAAGTAGATCAGAAACAAAAGTTAGACGCTTGTTACGTTGTTAAGGTAGGTCGGTTTGAAAATCAGAACGGTGACATTATGATGAGAACGTAACGTGCCAACTGACGTCAAATGTACAATGTGGGTAATCAGGCAGACAACTTCACCCTTGACCCACATCGAGTTCACCTCTGACCTCACGAGACGACGGAAGGACAAAGCTGCCCGAGTTCCTGTTTACGGTAAAGCTGCCCGAGTTCCGGTGAAGAGAAAAACCATCATAAGGAGTAGGTATGGCTTAGAAACGGACAGAAAAGTATTCTAATGTTGAGGGGAATAGTTTAAGGCCATTTCTGTGGAAGAAGAACCGCAGTAGGATGATAATTTGTAGGCATTTTCGGGATGTGAATGTCGTGGAATTAAAGGGGGAGGGGGGGCGAAACCTAACATACGTTCGACCCTCGCCACTTACATGTACGTCATGCTGTAACAGGGAAAGTGGCCTTTTTAGAGTACGTGAAATCATATGGAAATGTTAATTGTATTGTAAAGAATCGCACAAGGCGTACATTACAAAATCTAGAAACGCGTAGAACTAATTTGTGAAAACAGTAAATAGAGAAGCCTGGTGACCAAACCTATAGGCTATACTGCCGACTCTCTTTCTAGCCTAGCTTCCCATTGATTTTACCCATTGTTTGTAGTTGTAGAATTAATAACTGAAATATTTTGAGCAAGCTCTGTGGTGTGAGTGAGAGAGAGAGTGAGTGAGTGTGAGTGTGTGAGTGAGTAAGTGAACAAGCTCGGTGAAGTAAGTACTAGTAAGAGAGAGAGTGATCTTGAGTGAGTGGGTGAGTGAATGAGGGAGCGAAAGTGATCATCAAGATCTAACATTTATTTTGTCGCAACATAGAAGCAAATTTATTCAAATGCAAAAAATACAACACGCTAGAATTATGGTGGGTAATGTTGTTACGCATCAGGTTAAAATTGTTGAAGTCAGAACTGTTTAAACCTAATTTTCTGTAAGCCCAATTTTTCATTGACAATTCTGACAATATGTATGATTTCTTCATTTTTTCATTAGGCTCAACATGGCAGCGACAGGACACGGGTCTCCCATCGGAGTTAGTCAGAACTGCTGTGATGGATCTCCCACCGGGGTTTCACAGGTCGACTGTGACAGCAAAACAAGCAATGTTGAAGACCAGGCGGCAGCACAACAAGTCAACTTGAATAACGCTGGTGAGAAACCCTACATGTGTGAGGAGTGTGGGTACAGGGCAGCTTACAAGTCTGACTTATCCATACATATGAGAACCCATACAGGAGAAAACCCATACAAATGTGACAAGTGTGACTATTCTGCAGCACAGAAATCTAATTTAGACCAACATCTAGCAAAACACACCGGTGAGAAACCCTACAAATGTGACCAGTGTGACTATTCTGCAGCACGGAAATCTCACTTAGAGGAACATGTAGCAAAACACACCGGTCAGAAACCCTACATGTGTGGGGAATGTGGATACAGGACGGCTGACAGATCCAGCTTATCCCGACATATGAGAACCCATACAGGAGAAAAACCCTACCAGTGTGGCCAGTGTGACTATTCTGCAGCATGGAAATATGCTTTGAACCAACATCTGGCAATGCATGCTGGTGAGAAACCCTACATGTGTGAGGAGTGTGGGTACAGGGCAACTCAGAAGTCTCACTTAGCCCAACACATGAGAACCCATACAGGAGAAAAACCCTACAAGTGTGACCAGTGTGACTATTCTGCAGCACAGAAAGACACCTTAGATAATCATAAAGCAACACACACTGGTGAGAAACCCTATATGTGTGAGGAGTGTGGGTACAGGACAGCTAAAAGGTCCCACTTATCCGAACATATGAGAACCCATACAGGAGAAAAACCCTACCAGTGTGACCAGTGTTACTATTCTGCAGCATGGAAATATGCTTTGAACCAACATCTGGCAATGCATGCTGGTGAGAAACCCTACATGTGTGAGGAGTGTGGGTACAGGGCAACTCAGAAGTCTCACTTAGCCCAACACATGAGAACCCATACAGGAGAAAAACCCTACAAGTGTGACCAGTGTGACTATTCTGCAGCACAGAAAGACACCTTAGATAATCATAAAGCAACACACACTGGTGAGAAACCCTATATGTGTGAGGAGTGTGGGTACAGGACAGCTAAAAGGTCCCACTTATCCGAACATATGAGAACCCATACAGGAGAAAAACCCTACCAGTGTGACCTTTGTGGCTATTCTGCAGCACACAAGTCCTCTTTGGACTTACATCTAGCAAAACACACTGGTGAGAAACCCTACATGTGTGGGGAGTGTTGGTACAGGACAGCTCACAAGTCTGACTTATCCCGACATATGAAGGCCCATACATCAGAAAAACCCTACAAGTGTGACCAGTGTAGCTATTCTGCAGCCTCTAAGACTGCCCTAACTCGACATATGAAAATCCACACAGAGGCACCAAGTCTGCAACTGTGACCATCTCGTAGTGACATTTAGTACGCACAGTCTGCTGTTAACTACAGTTTCTCTACTTAATATTTTGATACGAATCTTAAGGGTATATTTAGGCTGAATATTCTGTAAGAATTCATGATGTTTGCAAGTAGGCAAAGGTTTTCCCAAGAAAAATCCCTATACTTGTTTACTTTAATATCTAATAAGTTATGGCTATAATTTAGGTAGAAGAATAAGTCTTAGTTTAGTTAGTAGCCCATATACTTTGTTGTAATATCAGATATCAAAATCTCTTTTAGCTATCTAGAATTGCGTGAGAATAGTAAATGTTATAGTATTGATTGGATAATATACATGATGTTTGCAAGTAGGCAATTAGTAGACACTTTAATATCTAATTAAGTTATGGCTATAATTTAGGTACAAGAATAAGTCTAAGTTTTGCTTTGTTGTAATATGAGATATCAAACTCTATTTTAGCCATCTAGAATTGTAGAGTGAGAATAGTAAGCGTTATAGTATTGATTGGATAATGTACATATACATAATCAGTAATTAACATGGGTAAGTGATTGTACACAGTAGTTGAAGCTGAAAGGTAGACATTAGTGCTGTGTTTGTACACAGTAGTTGGAATGTAGACGTTAGAGTTGTGTGTGTACGAGCTTAGATTTCCTGTGTATCTACTAGTAGTTCCTGTCACGAAGTGTTTGCCTTATGTCCTGCAAACACAATTATATCTTGTGACTATCAACTCTTTAAACTACTAGGATTTGTTAGGATAAAACCCAAAAGCTAATAGTATTGTTTTTTATCAGAGTAAAATAACTGATGTGCTTCAGTTTCCAAAGTAGGAAGTTATTTTACGCCAGTGAAAAGGTAGACGATAGGTTGTATAAAAGTAACTTTCCTGGGTTTTTTTCGAAGATGTATCTAGATCTAGATATTTTCCACTGACATAATTAAATCGTGTAATACCTTGAACATTAAGTTTCCTTCTCTGTTGCTTTTTTTTCCTTGGATGGAATATTGTTAGAGGTGGTGAGTTGATCATAAAACACAGAAATCAAGATTCAGACCAAACAGTTTGGCTTGACAATCATCCCCTCAAATTATCTCTCCAAAGTAGATCAGAAACAAAAGTCAGACGCTTGTTACGTTGTAAGTTGGTCGGTTTGAAACACAGAACGTTGGCATTATGAAGAAACACGTAACGTGCCAACTGACATCAAATGTACTACGTGGGTAATCAGGTCGACAACTTCACCCTTGACCCAGATCGCGTTCACCTCTGACCTCGCGAGAGACAGAAGGACAAAGCTGCCCGAGTTCTGGTTTACGTGAAGAGAAAAACCTTCATAGGAAGCAGGTAAGGCTTAGAAACGGACAGAAAAGTATTCTAATGTTGAGGGGAATAGTTTAAGACCATTTCTGTGGAAGAAAAACCGCAGTAGAATGATGATTTGTAGGCATTTTCGGGATGTGAATATCGTTGAATTAAAGGGGGAGGGGGGCGAAACCTAACATACGTTCGACCCTCGCCACTTACATGTACGTCGATTTGCATCAGGCAAAGTGGCCTTTTTAGAGTACGTGAAATTATATAGAAATGTTAATTGTATTGTAAAGAATCGCACAAGGCGTACATTATAAAATCTAGAAACGCGTAGAACTGATCATGATTTGTAAAAACAGTAAATAGAGACCAAACCTATAGGCTATACTGCCGACTCACTTTCCAGCCTAGCGAATGGAGTCATTTTACCCGTTGTTTGTAGTCGTAGAAGTAATAAATAATATAATTTAATGCTTTGAGCTAGCTCGGTGGTGTGTGTGAGTGAGTAAGTAAGTAAGATCTCATAGTCATAAATTATGATTTTGATAGAATTTTATCATTGACAGCTTTTAACGCTTATGTATATATTATTGTATAATTTATATTGTATAATTTTTTTCATTTTTGTCATTAGGCTGAACATGGCAATGGCAGGACACGGGTCTTCCGCCGGAGTTGGTCAGAACTGCTGTGATGGGTCTCCCACCGGGGTTTCGCGTGTCGACTGTGACAGCAATAGAAGCAATGTTCAAGGCCAGGTGTCAGCACAACATGTCAGCTTGAATAACGCTGGTGAGAAACCCTACATGTGTGAGGAGTGTGGATACAGGGCGGCTAAAAAGTCTTACTTATCCCTACATATGAGAACCCATACGGGAGAAAAACCCTACAAGTGTGACCAGTGCGACTATTCTGCAGCACGGAAAAGTAATTTGAAAGCACATTTAGCAACACACACTGGTGAGAAAGCCTACATGTGTGAGGAGTGTGGATACAGGACAGTTGAGAAGTCTCACTTATCCCGACATATGCGAGCCCATACAGGAGAAAAACCCTACAAGTGTGACCAGTGTGACTATTCTGCTGCAAAAAAATCCACTTTGAACCAACATCTAACAAAACACACTGGTGACAAACCATACATGTGTGGAGAGTGTGGATACAGGACAACTCAAAAGGATTACATAGTAAACCATATGAGGACCCATACAGGAGAAAAACCCTACAAATGTGACCAGTGCGAATATTCTGCAGCACATAAATCCAGTTTGGACGTTCATCTAGCAAAACACACCGGTGAGAAACCCTACATGTGTGGGGAGTGTAGATACAGGACAGCTGTGAGGTCCAACTTATCCCGACACATGAAATCTCACACAGGAGAAAAACCCTACAAGTGTGACCAGTGTAGCTATTCTGCTGCACAGAAAGTTAACTTGATCCGACATCAATTTAAACACACTGGTGAGAAACCCTACATGTGTGGGGAATGTGGGTACAGGACGACTGAGAAGTCTACCTTATCCTTACATATGAGAACCCATACAGGAGAAAAACCCTACAAGTGTGACCAGTGCGACTATTCTGCATCTCGGAAAAACATCATAGATAACCATAAAGCCACGCATATTGATGAAAACTCTTACATGTGTAAGAAGTGTGATTACCAGACAACTACAAAGTTCAACATATCACAGCACATGAAAACTCATAAAGGTGAAAAACCTACAAGTGTAATCAGTGTGACTACTCTACTGGACGAAAATCCACTTTAGATAACCACAAAGCAGCACACACCGGTGAGAAGCCCTACTTTTCTGGGGAGTGTGGGTACGGGGCAACTCAAAAGTCTACATTATCCGACACTGGAGAACCCATACAGGAGACAAATGTGACCAGTAATTGTACAGCTATTCTGCAGCCCCTAAGTCTGCCCTATCTCGACATATGAAAATTTACATAGCCCCAGGGCACCAACGTTGGAACTGTGACCATCTCGCTGTCATATTTAGTTCGCATATTCCTCTCTTAGCTATAGTCTCTCTATACCAAAACCAAGCTTAGGGATATATCACCTTAATGTTCAAACACAATTAGGTTAAATATTCTATAAGAATTTATTATTCATGTATTTAGAAATAGTAGTACATATATCTAGAAGATACCATACTTTTGTCCACTTTATTTCTTATTAATGTAAAACAACAGTACAGCACAAGAATATTCTTAGTTTAGGTAAATAATAGTAGGCCATATACGTTGTTCTAGTATTCATAATTTTGAACAAAAAGTCAACCTTCTATAGCTATCTAGGATTGTACTGGAACAACATTAAACTTGATGGTTTGGACTGTATAATGTTCATATATACATAATCAGTAATTAATATCATTTGGGAAGTGATTTTACACAGTAGTTGAAAAGTACACGTTATTGTTGAGTTTTCATAAGAATGTACGAACTTTGCGCATAAGGTATAAGGAATGTACGAACGATTTTTGTAGTTTACTTGACGTGGTCATAAGTACTACAAATATCTTTAATTAATATCAACTCTGTGAACTAGCATTTCGTTAGCAGTAAAATATTTGCACTGTTACTATCAGTGTAGATGACTGACGTGTTTTAGTTTAACTTTAGGACAGTTGTAAAAACGTAGGCGTGATGTTGTATACGAATAAAGTTCCTGTTTTGTAGTTTGTAGAGTATACCTTCCTGTTTGTTTTAATTTTGTTGTTGTTTTAATTTTGAAGATGTAGATACAGATATTTCCCACTCAAATAATTAAATCGTTTGATACCTTCAACATGATGCTTTTCTTGCTTTTTTGTCAATGATGGAATCTGTTAAATCATCACAAAACATAGAAATCAACATCCAGAGCAGGCTTGGCTGTAATTATGTTTACCGAATGAAAACATCTTGTTTTTCCTCAGTTTCCTCTTCTACAAACACAAAAAGTCAATGACCTGGGCCAGACAGTCTATCACCATAGTAACTAGTATTGGGTTATACCATGCTGCAATCTTGTAGCTGGGAGGATTTAGACTCCTGTCACCATAGAATATGTGAATGTGTTTGAGTAAGAATTAACAGAACAGACCATATGCGAAGGTAAACATGCATTATGCATTTGCTTTGCAATTGTTACCTTTCTAGTTAGTTTTTATGTTCGTTTCATATAATATCAGACCAGAAAATGTGGCACATTTTACGTTTTTCGGTGATCTTTTTGAAGGGTAAAACGTTTACATTATTAGGAAAGGGTAACGTGCTGACCGACGTCAAATGTACTACATGGGTAATCAGGTGGAGAATTTAAACTTTGACCCAGATGTTGTTTACCTCAGACGTCACGAAGCGATGAACGCCAAAGCTGCTCCAGTCCCGGTTTACGTGAAGGGAAAACATCATAGGAGGCAGGTAAGGCTTAGAAACGGGCAGAAAAGTATTCTAATGTTGAGGGGAATAGTTTAAGACCATTTCTATAGAAGAAGAACCGCAGTAGGATGATATTGTAGGCATTTTTCGGGATGTGAATATCGTTGAATTAAAGGGGGAGGGGGCGAAATCTAAAATACGTTCGACCCTCGCCACTTACATGTACGTCATGCTGCATCAGGCAAAGTGGCCTTTTTAGAGTACGTGAGATTATATGGAAATGTTAATTGTATTGTAAAGAATCGCACAAGGCGTACATTACAAAATCTAGAAACGCGTAGAACTTACAGAAGCCTGGTGACCAAACCTATAGGCTATACTACCGACTCTCTTTCCAGCCTAGCGAATGGAGTCATTTTACCCATTGTTTGTAGTCGTAGAAGTAATATATAATATAATTTAATGTTTTGAGCGAGCTCGGTGGTGTGAGTGAGTGGGTGAGTGAGTGAGTGAGTAAGATCTCATAAATTATGATTTTGATTTGAAGCAACATAGAATTTTATCATGGACAGCTTGTTAACGCTTGTGTATATATTAGGCCACAGCAAGTAATTTTTATGGATGACATCAGCGCGCGCATTAATTTTCGCCTGATTTTGGAAAAAAAAGAAGAAATTTTGTTGCCTTCTGACAGTGGTCAACATGCCGAAAATGGGCGAAGATGTCTGTTGCCATGCCGGAAGATGGATGGCAGATAACTATCAAGAGAGGAGACAAGAAAAGGCTCTGATTTAATGTTTTGTTTTTTACTTTGATGCAGTGATATTTGATGCTTGCTGTGTATATGTGATGTTCCCACTGAATCAAAACCATTTGTACAATGATTGAGTCAAAATTTCAAATTGTAGGAACCTTGTTTTCTTAGGCCCGCCTTGTTTTTTTTCGCTCGCTCGCATTAGATATGCAGTCTGAGGAGAATGTCATCCATAAAATTTACTTGCTGTGGCCTTATTGTATAATATATATTGTATAATTTCTTCATTTTTGTCATTAGGCTGAACATGGCAATGGCAGGATACGGGTCTCCCACCGGAGTTGGTCAGAACTGGTGTGATGGGTCTCCCACCGAGGTTTCCCAGGTCAACTGTGACAGCAAAACAAACGATGTTGAAGAGCAGGCGGCAGCACAACAAGTCAACTTGAATAACGCTGATGAGAAACCCTACATGTGTGGGGAGTGTGGGTACAGGGTGGCTTGGAAGTCTTACTTATCCCGACATATGAGAACACATACAGGAGAAAAACCATACAAGTGTGACCAGTGTGACTATTCTGCAGCACTAAAATCCTCTTTGGACCAGCATGTAGCAAAGCACACCGGTGAGAAACCCTACATGTGTGGGGAGTGTGGATACAGGACAGGTAACAGGTCCAGCTTATCCCGACACATGAGAACCCATACAGGAGAAAAACCCTACAAGTGTGACCAGTGTGACTATTCTGCAACACGGAAATCTCATTTAGACGGTCATCTCACAAAACACACTGGTGAGAAACCCTACATGTGTGGGGAGTGTGGGTACAGGGCAGCTACAAATGGCACCATATCCCAACATATGAGAACCCATACAGGAGAAAAACCCTACAAGTGTGACCAGTGTGACTATTCTGCTGCCCAGACATCCACCTTAAAGGACCATAAAGCAACACACACTGGTGAGAAACCCTACATGTGTGGGGAGTGTGGGTACAGGGCAACTCTAAGGTCTACCTTATCCAGACATATGAGAACTCATACAGGTGAAAAACCCTACAAGTGTGACCAGTGTGACTATTCTGCAGCTCGGAAATCAGACTTGGTCGATCATCTAGCAAGACACTCTGGCGAGAAACCCTACATGTGTGGGGATTGTGGGTATAGTACAGCTTCAAAGTCTACCTTATCCCAACACATGAGAACCCATACAGGAGAAAAACCCTACAAATGTGACCAGTGTGACTATTCTACAGCACGGCAAGATCATTTAGACCAACATCTAGCAAAACATACCGGTGAGAAACCCTACATGTGTGGGGAGTGTGGATACAGGGCAGCTGCGAGGTCCAGCTTATCCCGACATATGAGAACTCATACAGGAGAAAAAACCTACAAGTGTGACCAGTGTGACTTTTCTGCAGTACAGAAAGCTTCCCTGTTCCAACATCTAGTAAAACACACCGGCGAGAAACCCTACATGTGTGGGGAGTGTGGGTACAGGACAGCTCACAAGTCTACCCTATCTCGACATATGAGAGCTCAGACATCAGAAAACCCCTACAAGTGTGACCAGTGCAGCTATTCTGCAGCCTCCAAGTCTATCCTATCTCGACATATGAAAATTCACACGGATGCAACAACGTTAACCTTGCAACTGTGACCATCTGGTATTTAGTGCTCTATATTATTTCTCTAATTCCAAGCTCACGAAAATATAACATCAATACCAAAAAATGTAAGCTATAACATGAAAATGTCATAATCGTTTACTTTCATGCACTGTACATCTTTAACTGTGAAACTATTAGTCACTTAAAAGAAGTCTTAGCCAAGCTCATCCTCTTCGTTCTAGTATTAATTATTTTGAAAAAAATATCATNTGGAACAACATTAAACTTGATGGTTTGGACTGTATAATGTTCATATATACATAATCAGTAATTAATATCATTTGGGAAGTGATTTTACACAGTAGTTGAAAAGTACACGTTATTGTTGAGTTTTCATAAGAATGTACGAACTTTGCGCATAAGGTATAAGGAATGTACGAACGATTTTTGTAGTTTACTTGACGTGGTCATAAGTACTACAAATATCTTTAATTAATATCAACTCTGTGAACTAGCATTTCGTTAGCAGTAAAATATTTGCACTGTTACTATCAGTGTAGATGACTGACGTGTTTTATTTTAACTTTAGGACAGTTGTAAAAACGTAGGCGTGATGTTGTATACGAATAAAGTTCCTGTTTTGTAGTTTGTAGAGTATACCTTCCTGTTTGTTTTAATTTTGTTGTTGTTTTAATTTTGAAGATGTAGTTACAGATATTTCCCACTCAAATAATTAAATCGTTTGATACCTTCAACATGATGCTTTTCTTGCTTTTTTGTCAATGATGGAATCTGTTAAATCATCACAAAACATAGAAATCAACATCCAGAGCAGGCTTGGCTGTAATTATGTTTACCGAATGAAAACATCTTGTTTTTCCTCAGTTTCCTCTTCTACAAACACAAAAAGTCAATGACCTGGGCCAGACAGTCTATCACCATAGTAACTAGTATTGGGTTATACCATGCTGCAATCTTGTAGCTGGGAGGATTTAGACTCCTGTCACCATAGAATATGTGAATGTGTTTGAGTAAGAATTAACAGAACAGACCATATGCGAAGGTAAACATGCATTATGCATTTGCTTTGCAATTGTTACCTTTCTAGTTAGTTTTTATGTTCGTTTCATATAATATCAGACCAGAAAATGTGGCACATTTTACGTTTTTCGGTGATCTTTTTGAAGGGTAAAACGTTTACATTATTAGGAAAGGGTAACGTGCTGACCGACGTCAAATGTACTACATGGGTAATCAGGTGGAGAATTTAAACTTTGACCCAGATGTTGTTTACCTCAGACGTCACGAAGCGATGAACGCCAAAGCTGCTCCAGTCCCGGTTTACGTGAAGGGAAAACATCATAGGAGGCAGGTAAGGCTTAGAAACGGGCAGAAAAGTATTCTAATGTTGAGGGGAATAGTTTAAGACCATTTCTATAGAAGAAGAACCGCAGTAGGATGATAATTTGTAGGCATTTTTCGGGATGTGAATATCGTTGAATTAAAGGGGGAGGGGGGCGAAATCTAAAATACGTTCGACCCTCGCCACTTACATGTACGTCATGCTGCATCAGGCAAAGTGGCCTTTTTAGAGTACGTGAGATTATATGGAAATGTTAATTGTATTGTAAAGAATCGCACAAGGCGTACATTACAAAATCTAGAAACGCGTAGAACTTACAGAAGCCTGGTGACCAAACCTATAGGCTATACTACCGACTCTCTTTCCAGCCTAGCGAATGGAGTCATTTTACCCATTGTTTGTAGTCGTAGAAGTAATATATAATATAATTTAATGTTTTGAGCGAGCCCGGTGGTGTGAGTGAGTGGGTGAGTGAGTGAGTGAGTAAGATCTCATAAATTATGATTTTGATTTGAAGCAACATAGAATTTTTATCATGGACAGCTTGTTAACGCTTGTGTATATATTAGGCCACAGCAAGTAATTTTTATGGATGACATCAGCGCGCGCATTAATTTTCGCCTGATTTTGGAAAAAAAAGAGAAATTTTGTTGCCTTCTGACAGTGGTCAACATGCCGAAAATGGGCGAAGATGTCTGTTGCCATGCCGGAAGATGGATGGCAGATAACTATCAAGAGAGGAGACAAGGAAAGGCTCTGATTTAATGTTTTGTTTTTTACTTTGATGCAGTGATATTTGATGCTTGCTGTGTATATGTGATGTTCCCACTGAATCAAAACCATTTGTACAATGATTGAGTCAAAATTTCAAATTGTAGGAACCTTGTTTTCTTAGGCCCGCCTTGTTTTTTTTCGCTCGCTCGCATTAGATATGCAGTCTGAGGAGAATGTCATCCATAAAATTTACTTGCTGTGGCCTTATTGTATAATATATATTGTATAATTTCTTCATTTTTGTCATTAGGCTGAACATGGCAATGGCAGGATACGGGTCTCCCACCGGAGTTGGTCAGAACTGGTGTGATGGGTCTCCCACCGAGGTTTCCCAGGTCAACTGTGACAGCAAAACAAACGATGTTGAAGAGCAGGCGGCAGCACAACAAGTCAACTTGAATAACGCTGATGAGAAACCCTACATGTGTGGGGAGTGTGGGTACAGGGTGGCTTGGAAGTCTTACTTATCCCGACATATGAGAACACATACAGGAGAAAAACCATACAAGTGTGACCAGTGTGACTATTCTGCAGCACTAAAATCCTCTTTGGACCAGCATGTAGCAAAGCACACCGGTGAGAAACCCTACATGTGTGGGGAGTGTGGATACAGGACAGGTAACAGGTCCAGCTTATCCCGACACATGAGAACCCATACAGGAGAAAAACCCTACAAGTGTGACCAGTGTGACTATTCTGCAACACGGAAATCTCATTTAGACGGTCATCTCACAAAAACACACTGGTGAGAAACCCTACATGTGTGGGGGAGTGTGGGTTACAGGGCAGCTACAAATGGCACCATATCCCAACATATGAGAACCCATACAGGAGAAAAACCCTACAAGTGTGACCAGTGTGACTATTCTGCTGCCCAGACATCCACCTTAAAGGACCATAAAGCAACACACACTGGTGAGAAACCCTACATGTGTGGGGAGTGTGGGTACAGGGCAACTCTAAGGTCTACCTTATCCAGACATATGAGAACTCATACAGGTGAAAAACCCTACAAGTGTGACCAGTGTGACTATTCTGCAGCTCGGAAATCAGACTTGGTCGATCATCTAGCAAGACACTCTGGCGAGAAACCCTACATGTGTGGGGATTGTGGGTATAGTACAGCTTCAAAGTCTACCTTATCCCAACACATGAGAACCCATACAGGAGAAAAACCCTACAAATGTGACCAGTGTGACTATTCTACAGCACGGCAAGATCATTTAGACCAACATCTAGCAAAACATACCGGTGAGAAACCCTACATGTGTGGGGAGTGTGGATACAGGGCAGCTGCGAGGTCCAGCTTATCCCGACATATGAGAACTCATACAGGAGAAAAAACCTACAAGTGTGACCAGTGTGACTTTTCTGCAGTACAGAAAGCTTCCCTGTTCCAACATCTAGTAAAACACACCGGCGAGAAACCCTACATGTGTGGGGAGTGTGGGTACAGGACAGCTCACAAGTCTACCCTATCTCGACATATGAGAGCTCAGACATCAGAAAACCCCTACAAGTGTGACCAGTGCAGCTATTCTGCAGCCTCCAAGTCTATCCTATCTCGACATATGAAAATTCACACGGATGCAACAACGTTAACCTTGCAACTGTGACCATCTGGTATTTAGTGCTCTATATTATTTCTCTAATTCCAAGCTCACGAAAATATAACATCAATACCAAAAAATGTAAGCTATAACATGAAAATGTCATAATCGTTTACTTTCATGCACTGTACATCTTTAACTGTGAAACTATTAGTCACTTAAAAGAAGTCTTAGCCAAGCTCATCCTCTTCGTTCTAGTATTAATTATTTTGAAAAAAAAAATCATATTTTTAGCCATTTAGCATTGTAGCGGAAGAATAGTAAACTCGATTGTATTGTTTAGAAAATGTACATTTCCATAGTTATAAACATTGGTAAGTGATTGTACACAGTAGTTCGACCTTCGGTTTCTTGTTAATAGTTACCTTTGACGAAGTGTGTTCCTAATATTGTGCAACAAATACCTTTGACTAATAAAAACTGTAAAGTAGCATTTTGTTCACAGTGAATTTTGTGATTTGCGTTAGTGTATAATGACTGATGTACTTTACTTTCCAACAGAAGGAAGTAAAAGTTCCTGTTTGTTTTGTACCTTTTTTGTAAGATGTTGCTAGCATGCTACAGGTATTTTCTGCAAAAGCAATTAAATCGTTATGTTCCTTGAACATAATGTTTCCTTCTGTGTTGGTTTTTTTTTTGATGGAATTTTGTCAGAGGTGGTGAGTTGATTATAAAACACAAAAATTAAGATTCAGACCAAACAGTTTGGCTTGGCATTAATTCCCTATGCCAAAAAAATCTCTATTTGATATTAGATCAGAAACAAAAGTCAGAAACGTGTTACGTTGTTAAGGTGGTCGGTTTCAAACGCAGAACGTTGACATTATGAACAAGGCGACGTCAAATGTACTACATGGGTAATCAGGCCGACAATTTCAAACTTTGACCCAGATTGGTTGTCAACGTTATATTTGTGTGGCTCTTACATCTGGGCTCTTTTTTTTTAGCTCTAAGGTTGGACTAGAGACTAAGTGAGGTAGCTGTCACACCTGTAAGGTACCTTACCTAGTCTCTAGTTCAAGTAAACTCACCTGTCACGCCTGTAAGGTACCTTACCTAGTCTCTTGTTCAAGTAAGCTCACCTGTCACACCTGTAAGGTACTTTACCTAGTCTCTAGTTCAATTAAACTCACCTGTCACACCTGTAAGGTATCTTACCTTGTCTATAGTTCAAGTAACTCACCTGTCACACCTGTAAGGTACCTTACCTAGTCTCTGGTTCAAGTAAACTCACCTGTCACACCTGTAAGGTACCTTATGTCTTCTCAGGCGACAGCCCATAATTTTTTTCGGGTGTAGAAATCCAACGCGCAGCTATAATTTCTTCCGAATTATCAACCAAACCTAGCGCTGTGTTACATATTTCGTGAAACTTATCACGTGTAGTGGGGAAGTGCAGAAAACAGTGATGAGGTTCGTGATTTGGCTCATATTTAGTCGTAAAGTGTGGCGACAGCATTATTATGAGAGCCAAATCCGATAAAATAAGCGTGCTGTAAAGGCCTTCTGAATGCTACCTTATGCTTAATTATAGTAAGTTGTACCTTATAGCAAGGAGGTTTAACCTCCTTGCTTATAGTAAGTTGTACGTAGTAAATCGGCGGCCAGAAGTCCAACGACACCCATCTCCACGCCATAGTCCGCTTATCCTGAAAGTACGTGAGTCTGCGCACTAGCTGTCAAAACGTCACTTCCGGTCTTCCGACCTGAGAGCAATGGGATCTAACGACGACCGAGGGAGGAAGGATAAAGCTGCCCGAGTTCCGGTTTACGTGAAGAGAAAACCCGTCATAGGAAGCAGGTAAGGCTTAGAAACGGACAAGAAAGTATTCTGATGTTGAAGGGAATAGTTTAAGGCCATTTCTGTGGAAGAGGAACTGCAGTAGGATGCTAATTTGTAGACATTTTCGGGATGTGAATATCGATGAATTACTACTAGCAGTAAGGGAGGGGGGGGGCGAACCTAACATACGTTCGACCCTCGCCACTTACATGTACGTCATGCTGCATCAGGCAAAGTGGCCTTTTTAGAGTACGTGAGATTATATGAAATGTTAATTGTATTGTAAAGAATCGCACAGGACGTACATTACAAAATCTAGAAAAGCGTAGAACTGATTTGTAAAAACAGTAAATAGAGAAGCCTGGTGACCAAACCTATAGGCTATACTGCCGACTCTCTTTCCAGCCTAGCGAATGGAGTCATTTTACCCATTGTTCGTAGTCGTAGAAGTAATAAATAATATGATATAAAATGTTTTAAGAGATTGGTGGTGTGAGTGAGTGACTGTAAGATCTCAAATTATGATTTTGGAACAACATAGAAGCAAATTTATTCAAATGCGAGAAAGACAACACGTCAGAATTATGCTAGGTTACGTTGTAATGCATTAGGTTATTAAAATTGTAATGCTTGGTGAAGTTAGAATTCTTTGAAGCTTGTTTTCTATAAATTCTATTTTATCATTGACAGCGTATAACGCTTAATCTGTATAATTTCTTCATTTTTTTTGTTAGGCTGAACATGGCAACGGCAGGACACGGGTCTCCCACCGGAGTTGGTCAGAACTGCTGTGATGGGTCTCCCACCGGGGTTTTCCAGGTCAATTGTGACGGCAAAACAAGCGATGTTCAAGGCCAGGCAGCAGCACAAGTCAACTTGAATAACGCTGGTGAGAAACCCTACATGTGTGGGAAGTGTGGGTACAGGGTGGCTTGGAAGTCTTACTTATCCCGACATATGAGAACCCATACAGGAGAAAAACCCTACAAGTGTGACCAGTGTGACTATTCTGCATCACAGAAAGGCACCTTAGATAATCATAAAGCAACACACACTGGTGAGATACCCTACATGTGTGGGGAGTGTGGATACAGGACAGGTGACAGGTCCAACTTATCCCGACATATGAGAGCCCATACAAGAGAAAAACCCTACAAGTG